GCTCACATTAACAGCTCGTCAGTGACATAGATTTTCATCCTATTGAAAAAATTGGTGGATAGATATTATGTTCCAAGGTTAAATTTTCAGAATATGCAGTCCTTTACATGTCCAATCTGCAGCATCTCTTTTCTTTTGGTCCAGGTAAATGCTCGTGGAACAAGACCAATTAGAGAACCGATTGCTGTCTGAAGCTGCTTCACTGTTTGGCGTAATGTATCTGAAGAAACTTTCTTGTGCCGATAGACTACGGATCAATTTACTAAGAGATAGGAAGAATAATAGATTGGGATTTGGGAGAGCTTGCTACTTTCTCAAGGGCAGCTGGACCCGGCTTCTCGGATGATAGCTAAATTCTTTTCCCAAGGCTTTGCATATGTAAGCCTCTGAGAGATTCTTCAGTGACTACTTTACACGGACCTTTTGGTTTAGAGCAACCTGTGTCATTTCTAGCATTGTTTGCAGGATTAAATAGGGTTTTCTGAACCATATATCTAGTGTATGCTAAAGTAGGTTCAATCATTTCTTTCAATTCATTTCAAGTCAGGTTCCCGAATGAATAGTACCGCCGTATCGTACCACTCTTTGATTATGGGAAGCAATAAGGTCATGGTTAAGGTTTGAAACAATTGCAAAGAGGTTATTTCAACTCTCTGCCAGAACATTCCCGAAAAACCTTTTAAAAAACTGAACCATCAGGGCTCAAATCGTGCAACTTCATCACGTTACACGTATCGAGATTCCTGCCCTTAACACAATGGTAAGGGGTAACATATATATGCAATGCGCCTGCCTGCTGGTCCCAACATGAAAAGAACTTGCCAACAATACTTAGCATTTCTAATATTACCATTCAGCATTACAGCATCAGATCTTCGCCAGCTGTTGACAAAATACACACGCAAGTCCTGTTCTCGCATCAAGCAACCTAACAAAGACCAGCACACACAGCTTGGAAAGCATATGTCGTTTGCACCTAACGAAAAGTCATTCAGTGGTCAAAGGTCTTACAGGAAAATCAAACAGCCTTTCAATAATCAAATCCTCATCCAATTTCAGCAGTAAACAAACAAAACACCACATTCCAAGATAGATTATTATCAATTTCAATCTGACACAATACAATTTGCGCAAAATCTGACAATGATACAAAAATCCTCAATACCTCGTCCAATGACTTCCCTCTCAGCCATTTCTAACTTTAGAGGATCAAAACTCAGTAAGAAATTTAGTAAAAGAGCAGCATGGGATTATAGGGTTTTAGGGCTTAAGCGAGCAACTCTTTAACATGCATTCAGACCATCCATCTCAACTCAAACGCATCGGCAGTAATCATATCCATTCCATTAAAGAGCCTTACATATGACTGTAACTTTGCAGAATGATACAGCACGAGCCTGAGATCAGAACAACCCATACTACCTACCATAAGATTTACACTTTACACAAGACAAGCTATTGCAAAATCACGAGCCTGGATAATCACATTCAGCTAATCCAAAATCATAACTGAAACTCCATGTATTCTCATAAACAGCATTGCCGCTTCACTATCACAAGATCTCAAGAAAGCAAGGAACTCAACTAGAGGACAATCGACTCTGCTTCTACATTCCTGTGCAAGCAACACAAGAATCAAAGTATCCTAGGCACAGGATAAACTTAAGTCAAATAAACTGGTTCAACAAAACTATCAGATCATTTCTACACAAACCACATACACAAGATCAAACAAATGCACTCCTTGCATACCAGCACATGCAGCTCAAAATAATGTCCCGGCAGCATTCATACATCAAATGATATTAAAATCAGGCAAAAAAAATTGAAAATTCAATCAAAGATCATTGTTGGTAAAATAGGTAGTAATCCAGCAGAACTGCAGCTGGGTTAATTGAGCTCGTACAACAACATAAATAGAGCCAAATATTCTTCCATTAATCGTAGCTCAACACAGTAGAATAATCCTGTCCCAATTTAAAATTGACAAAAATAAAATAAAACAAAAACAAAAACTTCAAATAGCTAAAAACAAGGCCTCATTCTAGTTTCTGGAAATCTACTCGTCCCCACTGGCAGCTTCATCACCCTTTTTGTTATGCTTCCTTGCATACCTCTGGTTTCTCAAAAACTTGGGATCCATCTGATACACAAAAAGTCAAATTTCAAATTATTAAACATCAAAAATACAACACCAGTACCAACCACACGGAAACATTACAAAACATTATAAAATTTATTAGTGTTGAAAGGAGAAACGAACAGACCCCTTTGGTGGAAGTGTGGCGGTGCTTTCTGGGCTTCTTGATGCCGTTCTTGTGAGCCTTATAGGACTGGTTATGAGCGGTGTGGTTCTTGGACTTGGCCATTCTTTCTTCTCTGTTTTTTCATCCAAAAAAATTACAGATTTCTTTCAGCAATATATTTCAAGGAAGTCGAATAAATCAAGATGCCCAACTTAGATGGGAAGATTAACTCGGGAAGGAGTAAAATACCTGGGTCGGGTTGAGCCGGCGACAGAACTTGCAGAGGGTGAAGGAGATGAGCTTGGGGAAGAGAGGAGAGGGTTAGAGATGGAGGTTTTATGTTGAGATGGGAAAACCCTAGCTCCGTGTCGCGGGCGAAATTACAAAAAATGGCCTTCTACAGTTTGGGCTTCAGGGAAATCCATGGCCTATACTCCCGAAGGAATTAACACAACATTTCGACTTGGGCCCCCTTTATTATAGATCAGTCCGATGTCCTTGCCAAGTCTGAACCCAATTATCGATTTCTTTTCATTTTTTTTTTAAAATCAAACCTATAAAATTACCCATCTGTTATTAAAACTTTTCATTACTTGCTTCAACTTATTCATGAGACCAACCAAAAACTAAAAAAAGGCATCATCCACGGGACTCTAGTACTCTCCTCACAATGCAAAATAGAATATGTTAAAAAAAATAAAAACTTATTATTTAGAGAACGAACTTTTTTTGAGAAAGCAAAGTTTCATGTTAGGGCAACTACCATGTATAGTCAATAGCGTTAGTTTGTTTGATATATTGTTCATTGTATGAGTTAAATTGAGTATTGTTTTCTTAAATCCAATATCAAACGAATGATCTATATCTATTTTTTCGAGACAATAACTTGATTGTATTGATGCAAAAAACTATATATCATTGCACGTTAAAACTCGATCAAACTATATAATTAATGAACTTAGATCTTGAGGAATCAGTAGTAATTTTCCATCTTGTATTATGCTTAGATAGAACGTAAGGGCCAATTTTGTTACTTACATGATTCTTATTTCTATCTATTAAACAAAAGTAGCACATTTGAAACAAAAAACTTGAGTGATGTATGTCTTCCACCAATGTTGATAGCCTTATGATCTACATAAGCCGATGAATATCGTAAGACATCATCATGGTTCCTAAAACGCAATTTAGTTAAGCTTTGTCCGTTCATATTAGCATCGCCACTAATTGTGGCGAAACTGCTCCACTTTCCGGGTTGACGCGAGGCGTACTAGATTCGTATATCTCTATAGCTGTGTGTATCCAATCAGATCACCCCGTTGAAGTTGAACCTTTTGGGTAAGCTTTAAAAAAAAAAAAAAAAAACCCTTCAAAAAGGAAAAGACGTGAAATATATGGTCAGGTTCGGACATGTACACGCTTGTGCACGCCTAAGACTAAGACGTGTGTCAAACATGGTTCGAAGTCTCGGCCGAGATCGAGATGACTCGGCCGAGTCGTTACCGTCTCGACCCCTACCGATACGATACCGTGACGAAACGACGCCGAGATACTTGACTCGCCGAAAAATCGGTCGAGACGTCACCGCAACACTCCGAGTTATCCCGAGTCAAGACGAGAAATCGGTCGAGTTACATCGTGACGGATTGACTCGACCATTTCTTTTACTATTTTTTATTATTTTTATTTAGCATACTTTTTTTATAGTATTAACAATTTTTAGAATATTAAATACTTTAAAACTTGCGTCTCACCAAGACCGCGACCGATATGCCGAAACCGATGTGAAACGTTCCAGGCCGCGACCATGACCGCGACCGCGACTTTGAACCATGGTGTCAAATGTTGTTGTTCTCCAGACAAAAATCCTTTTTGGGTTGCCATGACAATTGAATAAGGGTCAGAAGAATAGACGTTTCAACAGCATTACTGCTGTTGTTCATAGTGAAAAAAACCGAACACGTCCATAAAATATCCGGTTTGAAGTGAAAAATAGCTACAGTCTGAGCTTAACATGCAGCGTGTCAATGTCTGGGACGCGGCCAGATCAAAGTTTTGCCGTTGAAAAAAAAAAAATTTAAAATAAGAGGTTTCTTGCCAGCAATGGTCACTTAGTTCTTGGTTCTATTTATTATTATTATTTTTTTTTTAATATCAAGTATTGTGGGGAGGTATAAAAGTAGCAAGAGATAAATATCTGTCCTGTTTAACAAGTGAATTTTTTGAATATTTATCTAAAACTTTACTGTATAAATTTTTAAACAAAATTTTGAAGTGTCTTTTTTAAAAATATTTTAAAGTGTATAGTTTAAAAACTTTGAAAATTTTTTTGAGATTATTATAACTAAAATTTTTAAAAAAACTTGTAACAAACAAATTTGGCAAAAAACTTATCTGCCAAACAAGCCATCATTTCGTAGCCTTGTGACGTCATGATTGCGTCCTCCGAAAGATAAAGCATAAAATGGCCGGATTCCCATAGGTGCCTCTCCATAAAAACTCTGGCAGGCCAACCAACAACGGAGGGAGCTGGGAGTGGCTAAGGCTCCTATAATATCTGTTCCAACTGATATCTTTCTATCAAAGGAACGGAAGAAAGACTGCAGAGTTGAAACCAGAAATAGTAGTCTCTTTTGAGGTTTGATCTACCTTTTGCCCACCATACGCAGCTGCACATTCACCAATATCATCAGCACCCATGGTCTCCATAACTTACACCAAATAGGAGCAGCAGCACCCATACACACTTCAATCAGTTCAATGTAAGAGGGCATTCGAGTTTCTCTTAATACTACATCCTCTGGAATCTAGTTTCCAGGTAAGACCAAAACATCAGCATGGAAAGAGCTAATAACAGCAATCTTCCAAGCAGTCTCAACGGCTTCCAATACTTGAAAAAGCAAACGGACAGTATGACCCTCATTTCCATAAAACGTGAAAAAAACAGGTCACAATCCAGCATCGTCTTAAAACTAAAGTATTTACAAGATGTACATATTGGTGCTACTTCAACCCAAGCTCCACATGCAATACTGAAGCCATCATATCTTCTTGTGCTAATGATATAAACCAAAAAAAAAAAAAAAAAGGCTTGCCATTCAGTCTTCTCTCATCCCATCAGGATTTTCGAACTCCTCATATTCCCGCTGCACAATTTTTTCAGGAAATACAGACAAACTTTAATAAATCCAAACATAAAAATAAGAAAGAAAGCAGGAAAGAGTACTGGTTCTGTACCGCTGCGTTGTTGTAAGCAAGCTTCATCCGCCTGTACTCTTCTTGGGCAAGCTTAGAGCGGAACATTGCTTGTACTCGGACAACAGATCTCTCAACACGCTCCTCAGCTTGTTTCCTGCTTGCCCGGAAGAAGTCCTCCTCCACATCATTTTCTTCCTTCTGATTATTGACAACTTCATCAGGATTAACATGAAGCCCACGAAAGCCTTTCCTCTTCAAGCGCCAGCGCAAAATTGCTTTCTCAAGCACTCCAACTGACCATATAATTTTTCGGTATTGCTTCCGAACTTGAAATCCCCGGAATACAGCCTGTAAAATCAAGCGAATCAATAAATAAGCAAGTTTTCCAATAAACGCCATGAGTTGGGTATTTCTTACAGCAGTCAAAAGCTCGTAGTTAACATAAAAAGCAGCAGAAGACATCATTAGACTCGATAAGTTGCTCAAGTTTTCATGTAAGGTAAACTTCAAGCTACCCATCTATCTCAAATCATTTGATTGTGAAGTCTGTTAGTAACCAGACAAACAAGCACACGTGAACAGCTTAGTAATACTAGCCAGCTAAGCAGTCAAAACCTTGGAACTCTTCCAGTGACATGACTTCAAGCAAACAGAAGATCAACAAGCCTTACTTGAATTCTAATGGCTTGCCGACGCATGTTAAGAAAATCTCTTCGCATCTTCCAAGTACGAAAGCTGTGTTGAATCCTAGCAGCAGCAGCCATCTTTTTCCTTGTCTCGAAGTTACGGAAAGCATGCTGAATCTTCATAGCTGCAACTATATTACGTGCTTCAATCTCTGGATTAGAAGACTCAACTGCTAGAGTTTGAACCTTGAGGGAGTGCTCCCTGAATGCAGCCTGTATGCGTGCAGCAGCATCAGCAGCAGTGCGGTAGGCTGCTAGAGTATCCTTTAGATACAACTCATCCTCACTGAAGTTTCCAGGTTCTACTGAATCACTTTTGGCAGTCTGAAGTGAACCACTGACATTTCCAGCTAAGGTCATATCCTGAAAGTGTTGAACCAATGCCTTCTCTGCAAGATATGCCCCCAAACCCTCATGACCATTTTTGGATGCAAGATCAGCAGCAGTGAATCCACCAGGATTTTCTGAAGTCGGGTCTGTCACCAAATTTGCCTTTGCTCCGGCAGTTAGAAGCTTTGCAACCATTGGCTCCCTAAAAATATACTCTAAGAATGAGCAATGACCACAGTTGAAGTAGCTGATAAAACTCAATAACCTCAACCTTCATGCCATATATATCAGCAAGGTGTAAACAAGACTTGTTTCCTAGAAGCCAGCTTAATCATATTCTCACTTTTCATAATTGTATCCATATACATTTCTTGTTAAGCCACAGGAAAGTATGCAGGCACCCCTTTACACGTGATAATGGAGCATGTGAATGGAAAAGATAACATTAAAAAGAAATAGTGTTAAAATTCCTAGTGGGAAGAGTGTCAAGAAAAATTTTGAATGCAGCAAAAAGGATACCTTCCATAATATGCAGCCCAATGAAGAGCTGTCCATCCAAACTTATCTCGATAATCTATTGATAAGCCAGACCATGAAAATGGATAGACAGCCCAAGTATAACCTAGGATAGCACACAAATGTATTACACCTTGGCCTTGTTCATCACGTTCAGAGATTTGACACCCTTCCGCTACTCTTTCCAACAACCATTCCAATAACCTGTTTTGCAAAGTCAGTTCAAACAAGCAGTTCTTGGCGTCTGGGAAAGACATTTCCTTGGCCTTTATTGATTTTGTCAAAAATTCCCAGTGATTTTTTATATGTGAGGTCTTGCGAGCAAAATTCTTGGCTTCCTTCAAGGCAGTTGGTGTTACCTTGGTTGATAAAATGTTAAAGCTCCTAGATGTAGAGAAAAGCAAATGAGCAAGTCTCATCTGAACTTCAAATTCTTCCCAACTAGACCTCTCCTCTGAGATTGCAGGATTATCAACAATGGGTGCACGGAACTCAAACATCACAACTTGGCTTATGGATGTATGACCATCAAAGCTCAAAAAAAGGTTTACAAAAGCTGGTGCTTGAGGGGAGACCACACAACGAAATACGCCACTTTGGACAGGTTCTGCACGAGCACAAGCATTTCCACAGATGCAAAACAAATTAGACCTTGACAGGTTAGATTGCCCTTCATGAAAATATCCGACCACCAAGATCTGCAACAGAAATGTCTGGGATATCAAATTGAACCAGGATAACAAATATTTCTTCATTTGTCAAGAAAAATATTTCACCCAAATATACATAATTTTCAAGTAAGACATTTATCTGCCATATTATGTAGCACAAGATCAATAACCAAAATAATAACACTACTTTGAATATCTAGTATCACAGATGCAACTAAATGCATCTAACAACCAAATTCTTGTTTTAAAAATAAGGGGAAAAAATGAGGATCAAGTCTGGCCCAAAAATCTTTCTTGCAAGTATGTTTTTAAATTTCTTAATAACCAAAGCAACACGAACCCAGATATAGCAGATGCAAGTATAAATAAGGTATATAAGGTTTTGACGCCTTTGGCCTACGATCCTACTCCTCTTTGCTACAGAATTTCCACTGGGCAGTGCTACATAAGCTTTTACTTGTTTCTGGGGCTAATAATGGCAAGATAAAGTTCTTTTTTGTGGCAAATATAGTCATGGCTAAATATTACCAAGTCAGGTAAAAAGGTTTTTTGGGCCTTCCTTTTCTGTTGATTTATACCAAAATTTCTTTTGAAAAGCAATGAAGAACAAAAATTACATGAAAACCAGAAGCTTCCTAAGAGCTGTAAAAACAAAAATTGGGAAACCAAAGATTTAAAAGATTAAAGCACAAGTACTGATACTGCTGCTATTGAGAGTTCTACAGGGATAAAGACCAGAGTGAGATTCAGTAACACAGTAAAAACTCAAATGAACCATAAAATCTAGCTCAATTTGAAGATTTTTATCAAATGTATAATTGTTATTAGCTCATAAACCTATTAAAAGTTGGCTAATCGGAAAAGATATTGAATTGAAACAGATAATATAACAGATTGTGTGATATGACACTTTTCATTTCCTAAGGAATGAGTACGCATGCCTGAGGCCAAACCTCCAGCAATTTCTCATGACAAGTACCTTAATATCAGCCCTCACCACGCAGTTTCATTCAATTTGATATTTACCAAAAGGGAAAAAGTTTTGACCAGTTAAAGATAGCACGCACACACACATGCAAAGAGAGAGCAAGGCAGGGAGATTCCTAAATTCAGTTATCCATGCCACGAAACAAAACAACTGGAAAAACATATTGATGGTCGATTAAAAAAAAACCTTTGTTTCTTCACTCGAAAGAGCCCAGGAAGGAGAAATTTCAGTTATGTTGAATATCTGCTTCGCAGCAGAAAATTGAGGAATATTCATGTGTGGAGAGGCAAAAGATTGATTGGTTGACATTGAAGAATCTAGAGTTGTATCATCCAACGGCAAAGGAGAATCAGCAATAACATTACTAATCCACTTCCCAAAACTGTCCTGAGTTTGCAGACCATCCTTGCTGGCATGTTCTAAGGAATCACCAGCAAACAATGTCATCTGTTCCGAATCCTTCAGTAGTAAGTTTGCAGTTGGAGCTCCCATTGTTTGAAAGCATAAATTGGCTGGAACATTAAGGTTACCAGAATTGTTCATTGAAACTTGCCCAGGGAATTTTTCCAAATAACTCTCTACGGGCAATTTGTTATCTGAGATGGAGTCACTCTGCATAGACCAGCTGTCATTAATGATTATCCTTACTTTACAAGGACCAAGTTTCAAATTTGAACATACATTAAACAAGCAAAGACTCAGCTACTCCAAACAAGATTTAATATGTACTTGTACCATAAACTAATAGAACAAACTGCTGTGACACAATACCAAGTTGCCTCCTAGTGATTTTGGCCCTTCAAGGTCAAGATCTGTAACTACTTAATACTAATAAAACAAATAAAATGAATAGCTAAGACAACACACCAAATGCCTAAATCCTTGTAAAGTTCATTCAAAAGTAGTTCAATTCATGCATATATATCCAATACATATCCATTTCTAGCTGATTTTATTCCAGAAGCTGTGCTTCAATTTTTCCTTGAGCTTTTACTACTAATCATACAAATTAAATTACCTTTTGGGTTATCTGATGGGTAACACCTATTGTAGTGAAGGAGAAAATCAGGACACAACAAATTAGAGGAACCACAAACTACTTTTCATTGGAGCCGAAGAAGCTGTGCACCGAGAACTTCATGCAGAAATGCCCATCCCCAAAAGACAATACACCTTCTGCCCCGCTCCAACTGCCATGCCCCTTCCCCCCCCCCCCCAAACAAAACAAAAAAAACAAAAAAAAAAGGAAAAAATAAAACAAAAGGAAAACAGAAAAACAAGACACACCTGCCCTTCCATCCAAAGAGAAACAATACGGAAGAGTAGGCAAACTCAACATCTATACTTTCACCAAGCAGAAATTTGCGAGCAGAGCACAATGATGCACAAAAAGTTTCATCCACACTTGAGGAAATATTATTGCTAAAACAAGGAGTAGGATAGCTAAATGACAAAGTTATGTCCTGTAGATAAGTATTTGAGGCCAAAATATATCGCCAACAAACCAGAAGCCAAGATGAGGATGCAAGTCAGTCTGTTTGCATGATACAAAGAAAAGAATATAGCAACAATGAAAATTGTGACACACAATTGACTATATATAGATCTGGAATTATTTCTGTTTCGACATGATAAACAGTTCTACTTACAGTAATTCCATAACCATTCATGCCGTACTGATAAGATAGCTCGGATGAATATTTTCCTGCCATCAACATGGGGAAGAGTCAAATCATCAATAGCTCCACTAAAAGCTTCGCTTGCTAACGCAAGCAACTAGTTTTTACCTTCTTGAGGTCCAATTAGCTTGTTGGGGTCATCTTGCACAAGAAGCTCATCCCATTCCAGTGTGTTAATCTCATGAAGCCTCAATTCATGATCTTTTATGTTCACACTACAATTAGGATCTACAAAATCATCAAATGAAAAGATCTTCAAAACAGGAGAATTGAGAGCAAAAGTATGTCAAAATAAACTTCCATCTAATTATCAGGCAGAAAGCAGACAACTCAAATAAATAAAAGTGGATTTTTTGACCAAGAATGATAGTGATTATATTTGCAAAAGATGCTTGGAGGTTATTTTGTACATTGGATGCACCAAATTGATGCTTTACCAATAATTATTTATCTTCTCAAAAAGGCATTGCTTCCAACAAAAAGAAAGGTGTATAGTAAACTTATTAATGGTTCCTATCACAGATTTTGCTCTCTAATGAAAAATGAGAATGGTTATGCAGTGACTTTCTATAATAACATCTGTAAACTATTTAAACGTGAGATTTGGACAAGTAGCTCATCAGAGTCTAATTGAAAGTCACATTAACATCACCTAAATCTGCTCTCTCTCTAGAGTAATATGCCCGGTCTGCTGCTGAATCAGATTCTTCTGATATGACCAAAGATTGAGATGGATCAGAAAGAGCGGAACTAGAATTTGAATTCAATGGCGTTGATGGAGAACCCTGCAACGGTTTTAGGAGTCAAATAAAGTCGTTAATCATGTCAGCATAAATTGTTAGTCAGTGGGTGAACTGAGATGTCGATTATTAGCTGCATAGCTAGGCCATCAAAGTCCAATCTCTTAAAATCATTGAACCAACTGAAGATTTTCTTTGAAGAAAAACAGTTACTTAATAGCATGCTAATTTTAAATTGTAGCTGAAAATGCAATAGAATCCTCTCAGAAGCATCAAGCTAATTTGAAGGTAATCAAAGAAAGAAGGGAAATAATAAGTAAAAGGTCCACTTATAACCCCAATTGCACCACTGGCTGTGCAACAAGCCCAAAAAGATAATATAAACAGCAATATACAGGTATTTGCAGTTTTCCTTCCAACAACATTCTCCCAGACAAATTATGCACCTTTGCTTCGAAGAAAAGTTTTACCTAAGTTCATTGCGCTTGAATGATTACAAAGCTGTAAAATTATCTACAAAATCAAATATGAAAGACCAAATTAAAATTGAGTATGATTGAGCAATGATGACTTAGAATGAATTAAGCATAGCTGGAAACCAGCCAACTCATCATCTGGATTTAAAATCACTTTTTTCAGAAAAGTGGAAGACAAACAAAGATCTGTCTCTTTTACATTTTAGAAAACTAGACCATGAAAGTCGACCACCTTCCAAGAATTGACTAAGAGTATAATATGAATTTCTGTTCAGTCACATATAAGAAAAATTAGTCCATCATTCAGACTTCTTTCTGAGAGTCCAATTCTTCTGACAACATATTAATAACTAGAGAAAGATTGAAGCTAAATCGACTTTTCATGTGAATAAATATAACATCTCAATCCTTCAATAGCCATATACACCAAGATATGCATATCCATAAACAGTTGAGAATCTAGCTAAGATGTCTTATGTTCAGTTCTGATAGATTAGCAAACTTCTGTCAAAGTACTTTTAGTACCTTTGAATCCAGTATTTGTTATAACTATCTACAACCAAGATGAGACTATACTAGATATCATGTGGTGTCTTTCCGGATTAAGAGACAAACCTCTTGAGTTTCACGATAATGAACGAGGACTACATGTTCCAGTGACCTGATACATAGATAAATACTGATTAACAAGACCCACATTAAGATTTGGGCACTTGGCCATTTGACAAAGCCATGTACTGGAAAGACATTATTCTAAGATCAGAAGCATGCTAACGAAAAGTTGACTAGGTTGATGCTCTTACGAACTAAAATCATTTCATACTTGTCAAGTAGCCAATAGCATCTTCGAACAAAAGTTGGGTTATCTTCTCCATGTGCATAGTATACATGAATCCTCTCCTCGTTACCAACCTGTCACAAAATAAACCAAATTCAAGACCAATCTCATGACTTCAGGTTCAATTGGGAGATATGAAATGCTGTCCTCAAATTGTAAACATTTGCTAATCCATTTAGTGAGACGAATAGCACTAGATGTCTCAATTTGCTAATGTTGCTACAAACAACGTATGACAAATAAAATGAATGACCCAAAACATGAACCTCATACAGCCACGGCATATCCCCCAACACCAAACACCTAAAAAAACAAAAACTTACTGTTCAACACAGTAACACATGCACCCTACCAACAAACAATTGGTAAGTCTGTTTAACAGTTGATTTCTAACAAAATCTAAACCTGAAAGAGGCAAACTTACTTTCAAGTGTTCATGTGCTTCTTTGACAGTTTTCCCATCCTTTTTTTTCTTCCAATTATGACCATCCTTCCGAAAATTCCTAAGCATCTTCCGATCAAATAACACAATTGTGCCACCTATCATATCACAACAAATTCACATTTGGAGTGCATCAGTGTCAGAGTATCTTTTCCTTGGGCATTTAATCCATCAACAGAATAATCACATTATTTTTGGTTATATTATCATATTCCTGCTCAAACGTACTTGGAGGCAAGTTGACTGGCTTGACTTGTACATTAAAGTGCTTGTAGTTGCAGAGTATAGCATGAATCTCATTTGGCCGAAGCCATCTTCCCTTGGCCTCCTCCAGTATGTTGCCAATATCTAAGTCTGTCGATAAATTAAATAGGACGAATGATTCTCATTAAAGGACTGGCTTTTACCATGACAAAATAGGGGTGAGGAACCCAAAAGATGAGAGATACACAAAAGTCAATATCAAATGCTGAATAGATATGGGAAAACCTTAAACAAAAGCTGGTATTAGCTTTTCGCAACAGGTATTTGAGAATAATATGTGAAAAAAAAATGTCCTTTTTTTGAGTCAAGAAAAGTTTCAAATCCTATAAAATGTTGAATATACCAGATAGAATCCATTGCTCAAGCCAGAGGTTACAGTGTCACAAAGATGTCCTCACAAACAAGAAGTAAGAACATCACTTGTTCATCCCATGAAGGGATAGATTCTATTATTACAGCAAAGTTTCATTTCAAATATCTATGTCGGCATATCCAGCTCTAAGACCTTTAATTAAACCTCAATTTCCAGCTGGGGAAGCCCTGGAAACCAATTTACTTCTCAGTCAACTAAAATTCACCACAAAAACCCACTTTAAAAAAATAAAAAACCATCACAATCCCATTTCCTTATCTTGACAAAAATTTTACTACCTTTTAAGGCAGCTAAAATTCCGTGGATGATATATAAATGAACCTGAAATACGCATGACAAACCAGAAAACTGCACTATTGCTGAGTACCTTTCATGGTTCGGAAGCCATGTATCTCCGAGCCAGCTATAGCCGCCATTTCTGCAAAACTCGTCAGCTATATATATATATATATTCCTCGTTAAATGCTCCAATTAAACCAACCCAGCTTTTTTTAAATGATCGATTCAGCAACCTAGGTCGAATTAGATATTCCGGATGACAAAAGGGGAAGAATTTTGACCGGAATTGAAGGATAAACCACGAACCAGTAAGCGAGAGAGATTGTTGGTGTTCTTCTCGTTTATGTTTAGTTTTTTTATTACACTGGTACTAACGCTTAATTGGGATGGGAAAGACAAGAAGTCAAGTCAAAAGTGATGTCCTAACCCATGAATAAAAAATGAGGAACCAAAATAAAAGTTCGATGGCGTATTAGAACAAATGGGGTAAAAAAAAAAAAATGGTGTCGCAATCACTCGTACGTGCATTTAACATGCTAGGTCTGGTTGGGGCGCTGGGCCAGATCGCAGTGGGATTAGTCGGGCTGCCTTTACGGATTTGACTCGGACACTCACTCCGTCAGTAAAAAAAAAAAATCACTCGTACGTGAAATGTGGGGATTGAGATGGGAAAATTAACCCTTGAAATCGTCTGAACCGGATTTCATCTCGGTCGCGCCTCTTTCGTCTTGTTCAACTATTACGTGTATTGATTAATAAATTTTAAAATTTTATTATAAATAAATTCAATAATAAATAACTCTTAAATTTTATTGGTGAAAATTTTAACAGTAAAATACACGTAATATTTAAATAAAAACAAAAAAGATGAGATGAAAAACGTAACACTAAACAAAAATGGAGAAGACGGGACAAAAACAAAAGATGACACAGATGGTTTGAAGATCCTTGGTTTGTCCTCCTATCTTCTTTCTATGATTTAATAGTTGCAAATCTGTGTAAAAAACAAAAAGTCGCACAAATTAAGAAAATTGGATTCGCTAATCGATTCCGTGATTCAATTGAAATTTTTTTTTTTTTTTAAAGGATCTGTCAAATTCATGTCATTGTTTGGAGTTTAGATGATGCAGGACCAAAGAGATTAACAAATAGTCTAACAAGCTCAATGATAACGTGGAAGAGGGCGGAAAATGTTTGGCCTTTTGCTTGAAAATTGGGAGTGGAAATTGGAAGGTAAAAGAGTTTCTCCATTCTAAGATAATTAGTTGCGAAAATAACATCGCATCCCAGCTGCGCGCTCGTCGGGCACCGACATGCCCCCTTACTCCTTGGCCAGAAGTGGCTTTCTTTGGTGCTTATTAACCTCATCTCCAAATGAGAGCTTTTCTTTTGAGTAACATAATTCATTTTTGCTACATAAAATATTTGAATGGTTAACCATTCGAGCCTACCAAAATTTTTCCGCTTTTTCTCTTTGTGAGAAAACTTGTTAAAAAATTTGGCCCTCCGAAATATAATAAATCATGTATTAAGACTCAAGTTACGCGGCATGATATTGTCAGAACTAAAATTTTAATACCACAACAAATTTATTTGTAAAATATATTTATACACTTTTTGTTCTTGTGACTTCTCTGCCTTCGCCATTTCTTTCATCCTCTTACTGATCATGTTCAGTTCATTAGTTCAAAAGAAAATAATAGAAAGCACAATGAAAAGAAAAGGCAATGGCTTTGATTTGGTGTACACATGGTTGGTGTCTAATTTGTAAATGGTAATCTATGGTGTGGTTTGAGTGTCAAACATATCCTGCGACAATTCATGTTGTGAATCCTCAACTCCAATCAAATGTAGCATCATCATAATTTGGACTCGAGGGGAATACTCTCGTCATTTTCGCAGAAATTGCTATGCCGCCATTATAGCTCCAGACGGTGACGGGAATTGAATTTTAGTTTTTTTTTTCTTCGAATAATTGAATTTTAGCTTAGATAGCGGATCATCGAAGATATGATAACCAAAAAAAAAAAAAATTCTATAACAAATAAAGCGTAGTAAATATAAAATAAAATTTCAATAGACTATAATTAGAATTAAATTTTTTTTGAGAATAATAATAAAGTATAAAAATATGAAAATTAAATTATATACTATTCTATTTACCATGGAGGTTAGACATTCAAAACCGCAGTTGAAACTTCCTTGGTTTCTGTGATGGTTGAATTTTTCTTTTTTTGTTTTGTTTGTCTTTCATTTCCTATGTAATATGTATAGTGTTACTTTAGTTGGTATTGTAAAATAATACTAGTAATTAGAGAAAGGGATAATTTCAAAATCCTCCTTCGAGGTTTTAGACAATTTCACATAAATACCCTCTAATATTAAAAATTACGCTGACCTCCCATTGCTCGACATGTTTAATAACAAAGCCAGCCTCCATCATAAAAAGTAATCTCAAAAATGAAACAAAAGTGCTGACACACAATTTTCTTCTAAATTTACCCTCCTCGTCTCTAGATGAAAACAATTAACACTTTTGATGAGGAAAATGCCAATAAAAAAAAAAGGTAAAAGATTGCTATCAGTTTGATCCTCTTGAGATAATAATTAATTAACAATAAGTTACACTATTGACCGCTACGCCTAAGAAGAGCTGTTGGTAGAGCAATGAATCTTTCATGCCAGCATACAAGGCCAGTGCAGGTGCCAAAAAAAAAAAAAAAAAAAATTTCATGCCAACTTTAATCGAAGATGTCCTATAAACAAAATCATATTTGTCCATCGTCAAGTAACACAGAGGTACATTTACAGGTACAACATATAATCTGTGAGGACCCGAAAAATTTCTTATTTTTATCAAATATTAACCGTTTAATTAAGTATTTAACCACCTGTTTCTCCCAAATAATTTATTACGACCATTTTAAATCCATTCGTATGGAATAATGTCTTCATTATGTTTTTGAAATGTCCCGTTAACAACTTCAATTTTCGGAAGGATTGTTTAAGTGAGAAATAATGAACACGAGTGTTTCAAGGTGATATTGTATTCGAGAGTATGATTATCCTGGGGAAATTAAGAACGGACAATAGCAGATTAAGAAAAGTTAATCGAGAATCAAAGGTGAATAAGTTCTAGGTGAGCATATATTACTCACGCGTGGATAGTTTTCCAAAAGACGCATGGATACAAATTTATTGGAGATTTGCGGAGTTAATACTCGACTCATGTAAAGACTCGTAAAACTCCTATTAAAATCCTAATTTGAGTTTATTTAATTATTTACTTGTTCATTTATTCCGAGTATTATTTTCTAGACCTATTGAACCTAAATACATGGTAATATAACTTCGTTATATTTTTAAAATGATTCGTTTCGAAAATTAATTTCCTAGAGCGCGTTTAGTAAAAATAGTGAATAGTACTTGGAGATTTTATCCGCGTAGTAGCACAATAAGCTTGGAATATTGGAGACTTGTACTATGGTCCTAAAATAGGTAATCTTATGAATAAATATTCAAGTGATAGTTAATAGTGCAATCGTTATAAGAATTTCTCGGAAGTTTCGCGTTATAACGTTAAATTTGACGGTACGCGTTTTCACGCGCGACTTCAATTGAGGGACTTTAGACCCTTATTTCGGGACAATTAAGAGTGAATAATATTTACATGAATATATATGCCTTGGAGGTTTAGTGCACTAGTGAACCAAACGCGCGAGGAAATCAAGCCGTAATCGCACCAAACGGACCCTAATGAGAGTTGACTTTTGGGTGAATTACCACCACTTATATCACCTTCTCTTGGAAGCTAAAGGAAGTCAGATTTCCCTCCATTTTCTCTCTCCTCACAGCCGACCAAACACCCTCCTCTCTCTAACACATTTGCTTCAAAATTTCTGCTCACTAATCTCACTCAAAATCACCCCAAATCATCTCCAAATTTAACCAAACTTGCACCACACCTAGCTTGACACTTGAGGATCATTTTGAGCTGCAAACAAGGGCTGGAAATCACGATTTTGCTGGGGTAATAGAGGGCCGAAATTTCTGATTGAACACCAACCCAAAGTAAGTGATGATCCACTCTTGAAAACTTGAAGTTTGGAAGCTATCTTACCTTGTTAAGTTCATGCATGCATTTGGTTAGCTTGTATATGGTGTAAAAATGTGATTGTGGGCTCTTTGAATTCCCACACTTGGGTTGTTGTTGCTGATTTGATGAGTGATGGTGATTATATTGTTGGTTTAGTGGTTATAATGATGCATTAGTGGTGGGTAATTAGTAGAAACTTCATTGGGTGTAAGAAGCAAAAACTTCCGATTTTGCCCCTGCCATGTTCGGCCATTTTAAGGCCAGTTTTAATGAACTAATGGCTTGAATTGGATGCCTATATGATGTATTAGAGGTGTGGAAAATTTCATTGGAAAATATTGAGGTTTGATTGAGCAAATGAATTTTTTTGAGAAACCAGCAAATCTGGAAAACTGATTCGCGTGTGTCTCTGACCAGCAGTAGTATTTTGGCTATAACTCTGTCCTCGGATGTCGAAATCATGTGCCGTCGGTGGCGTTTGAAACTAGACATTCCTAGCTTTAATTTGGTATATAATGTACATTCTGATTCTTTGTGAGCAAGCCGAACCAAATGTTTTAAATTCGCTGTCCTGTTGCTCTGTTCATCTGGAATGAAGTGTTCAGGCAGCAACTTGATGCCCGATTTTGAACCAGATGGGTGCCGAATTTGGAAACGATTTCTTCTGTGATATTTTAACTCTATGAATGTATTTTCCAACGGCGTAAGCCATGCTCGATTTCGAGCTATATTGACTGAGTTGTGACTGAAACAAGTGGACTGCTCTGTTTTGGAAAACCCTAATGTTTGGACTGGTTTGGAACAAAATCTTGGAGTGAACTTGTTAGTTGATGTTCTTGATATTAAACACTTACCAAAGGTATTATGGATGTTTCTTAGGCCTTTATTTCACAAATGAACCATGGTTGGATAACTTTCTTGCTTAAACGATTGGAAATTTGGAAAATGAAAGTCAAAGGCAGATTGCCTTAGGATTTTTCTTGAACTTTGGTTGGCTAATTAACTACCTTGCCGAAGGTATTTTTCCCCGAAATTCGATAGAGAGATACTTTCCATATAGTATTGAAATACTGCCAATTTTAGTGCCAATTCAAGTTCGTTTCGATACCCAATTGAATTACTTAAGTTAGAGGTTCAAATCTGGAAAATTCTCATCCAGTCTTGAATTTGCTCAACTTCGGGCTACCGTATCTCGGTACTCGAAACTCCGATTCTTGATCCGCTTGTTTTGTTATAAACTTCACTTGCAACACTAATTGAGCTGCAAATTTCA